TGTCGGCTCAGACCTTTCCCTGAGCTGACTCAATGCTCTGAGCCAGCAGGGAAACATCGATGTCTTCTGCTGATTCCAATTGACTCATAGGTGGATCCACTAAGCAACAAAGCCAGAGCAAGGAGCAGCAAGCAGGCAGGAGGTCAGGAACAGAGACTGAAAAGGAAGTGGGGGGAAAAAAACAGGGTTTCTCCTTCTTCATGGAGGTTAGCACTGCTCTATCCATCTGGTGAAACCACAGCCTCACTAAGAGTAGAAGGAATCAGACCGTTACTCATGTGCTCCATATGGAAGTGGTTGGTTAGAGAAACACTGTGTTTCCTTTGCCTCCCTCTCTCCCTCCTGTAACACGTTGCTAAGCAATTTTAATTGTTTAATTAAAGTTTAACTCATTGTTTGCAAACACAGAAGAAAAGTTTGCCGAGTGCCAAGGTTTAATTTTCTGGGTACCTGCGGAAAGGCTTAATTCAGCGCTTTTTCAGCAAAGATTCTTGGAAGTTGAATGTTCCTTATTCAGCCCAAAACTGACAAGGCTAAAAGTACGTTCTGCAGGTCAGAGCTATTTTACATTTCTTAACCTTTTAGAATTGGTACTTCCATAGAGTTCTTAGGATGGATGCTTGTGTGGCAACCTTCCTTCACATGAGCACTTGGTTTGTAGCGTAAGAATTGGTGTTCTCCAAATGGCACATGTACTCATGACTGTTAGAAATACATATGAAGGTTAAAAGATTTTAAGACACACCAATCTGCTTCAGAAGCAAAGGAGAAATCTTTCAAAAACACAAACGCTGCAGCTTAATTTTTACGGCAGGACTCTGAACTGTGGCCATGTTTACATGTTGCTGGATGAGCAGGAAACTGTGATTCCCAGTTCTGTATCGCGGGGCTGCTCTAACCGACTGCTCATCAATATATCATATCCAATAGAGACTGCAGTAAGGGAGAAGAGCAAACAGAGGGAAGAAAAGCCAGACTAAATAACATTGCTTTAAACACAATTCTCCAGCATGTTGTACTCTACGTTGTCCTTTACTGCCTCGAAAGCAGGTAGAAAATACTATCAATGAGCTTTTTTTTCCCCCCATGTTGCATGTAAGTAAAATAATTGTGGTAATTAATTATGGCAACTCAGAAAATGTTTAGCAGGAAACTGGATTCAGGCTACAAGTATCTAGTAAGGAAATGCCTCCATATAGGATGTAACAACTTGAGAAACAAACACTTACCTCCACCTCTGCTGTAATTTTACATGTTCCATCTTATTTCAGGAAACAGCTGCACCTTCTAGAACAATTTTACCCTTTTCTATCAAAAGTGATCATCTTGCTCAGGCAGTTAAATATTGATTAATAGATCTTGGTAATTTTTTTGGTACTTTTTAAATTCCATTTCCTTCCTTACTGTTCTATTTCCCCCACCTCGAACAATTAAACTAGGTCCAGCCAGGTGGCTACCTACACAATATAGGCATGTGGGATCACAGAATCACAGAACGTTAGGGATTGGAAGGGACCTCAAAGGATTATCTAGTCCAATCCCCCTGCCTGAGCAGGACCACCTAGATTAGATCACACAAGAACGCGTCCAGGCAGGTTTTGAACATCTCCAGAGAAGGAGACTCCATAAGGGATAAATAGCTCCTATGGGTACTTATTCATAAGGGATGAATAGCTCCTATGTATTGCAGCACTTTTCTCTCTGGCAATGCTACTTACAACTAGAGAGATTTCCCTGAAGAGTTGTCTGAGGTATTTTAATTCACCTCAGCTACACCTTAGCATCTAGAGGGATTTTTTTTCCTTTTTTTTTTTTTTTTTTTTTTTACATTTTCCTGACTTAGAAGCTTTCTGTTGTACTAATGTGTTTACAAATTGCCAAAGATCCCAACTGTTTTAATTGCTCAAATTGCCATTGTTTGTCATCTAGAAAAAAAGCTAAAAAAGCCAAAGCTGTCTCACTGCTATCACACAATGTATCTAAGTGTGGGTAAGAGAAAAACAAATGGAAGAAAGAACTCCAGTTTCTTCTCCGGTTTCACTCATGGGGAAAGGAGGGCAGACGTCATTGACAACAGACCAGTTTTTCTGGAGTTGAGCAGAATGTCGTGTAAAGAAACATTAGCGAGATACAGTCACCTCTAATCCATCTCTGGCTTATTGCAGATGGGACATCAAGTTCCATTAACTCTTCCAGCTGAAAGAGAAAAATCATACACATTCTCCTTCCTTTATTTATTGTAAATTCTCAAAAAAAAAAAATCATTAACCCTGCTAGCTTTCAAAAAAGGTTTAGATAGCATAGTAAAATTATAAGTTTCCAGCACTGGAGAGGACTTATTTTTATTAAATCACTTGGATTCCTGAATCTACTTCCAAAGATCCTGACCCTGAAGTTACCAGCAAATAAGGACACCATCGCACTCTTGACCCCTGCTCAGGATACGCCTCCACAGCATCTTAAGTTGACTTAAAGTGCAGTGCCATATGACTGCCAGCCAGATGTGCTTCCTCATGTCCTTCTTTCTGCTGTTGCAGGAAGCTAACCAGATGAAAACCACCTAAAAGAAAAATTCAGTTTTTTTGACAAACCAGTTCTCTGAACTGACTCTCTACCTGGTCTCGAGTGTTAGTTCCTCTGCCTGGCAGAGGACAAGACCATGTGGCCTGAACACAGGACTACCCCAGCCTGGATTTAGACTGTTCTCAGCAGCATTCTAGCACACATATGCTCAATCCAGATTTAACTCAGTAAATTTGGGTACTAAAAGCAGTTCAGCTTCAACAGCATGAAGATTCGGGTGCGCTTATTTCCTCAAAGGCAAAGTCCTTAGAGTGAAAGGCATGAAACGAAGTACTAAAAGGATTGGTCTTTTATTTCACATCTGCATTAATGACCTTGGCACAGAAAACAGCAATGTATTAATGAGAACTGCAGATAACAGAGTTGTATAAATCAAAGACATGACATCACAAAAAAAAACTAATTTTGAAGAGGGCAAGAATAAACATGGGGTGACATTTAGCTACATGAAATGCAAGGTTACATGCTCAGAAATGACTATGAATTATTTCTAACTTAAGGTGTGATCTCTTAGAAACTGGAGGATAAAAAAGTCGCAAGATCACTAATGGATTACAAAATGAGCATGAACCACCAATGTGATACAGCTGTGAAAGGCAGACACAATAATATAAAGGTACATGCAAGAGATAATGGGAAATATTAATGTAGTTGCACAAGCTGCTAGTAAATTTCTTCTCGTTATTTTATTTTCAGTTTTTGGCTATGTTCAAAAAAGCCACAAGGGTGGAAAGCTGAATTTCATGGCTGGGCACTGAGCCAATCCTTGAGTAAGAAATTAGTGACTCCAATGTGTCAATTGCCTTTTGTACGACATTTCTTCTACCTTAATGCTCATGAGACCCCAACTATAGTGCAAACAACAAAGTGCTTTGCCATGACCAGTCTGGCAAGCAGTGTGTGGTAACAAGCACCTCTGTCCACAGCGAGAGCTGTCCTTCCTGCAGATGGTAGACTGGAGAACATATGAAAGCAATTTGCCAAAATACTTGGTATTACCTAAATGTACTAGGTATTACCTAAAATGGTAATACTGACATACCTAGAGTGAGAAACATGGTCATCATCTGCATTAACAGATGAACAAGCACTGAAGACAACAATTACTTTCCATTTCCATGCAACCTCATTTAGCTTTTAAAAGAAATTCTCTTGTCCAAGTCCCAAGCAAAACCGGGAACTGCTGGTTTTCTGCCATAAAATTTTCCATCACTATCCAAACAAAACTCCAACTCCAGCTGCCCCAACGCAAGGAAGATGCGAACGATTCTGAACGTTAAGGGGACGGGAATCGCTGTGCACTTGTGCCCGTCTTCCCCTCCGCAACTCCAAGGAGCGCGGGCGGAACACCCCGGTCTGAGCGCAGCACGCGGCCTCGACAACCCCGTACCCAAACCCAACGACGAACGGCCCCACGTTACACGTAGTCTGCACACATCTACACACACCCACCCCCCGCGGCTATATCTCAGCACACATTTCAACCCAGCACACACTTGCTGGCGTTTCTTCAGAGCAGAACTCATCTTTGTTTAACAGCCCCACACCTCCGACCCCGCCGGCCCG